GGAACAGGGAAAAGGCAGGTTTAAAAAAAAAGTCACTGGTGGCTGAATTTGGTTACTCAATCAACCTGCCAGTTGTATGTTTGCAACTCACATTCATTTCAAGGAGAAGCAGTGAGGAGTCCTGTGGCACCTTATAGACTAACCAAAGTGTTGGAGCATAAGCTTTCGTGGGCAAAGACCCACTTTGTCAGACGCATGACAAAGTGGGTCTTTGCCCACGAAAGCTTATGCTACAACACTTCGGTTAGTCTATAAGGTGCCTAGTCTATAAGGTGCCACAGGACTCCTCACCGCTTTTGCAGATTCAGACTAACACAGCTACCTCTCTGATACATTTCAAGGAGAGTTATGCAGGTGCAAGTGAAGACCAGAGAAGAGACATCAATTACCTGCATTTCAATTCTACGAGCATACTATAGTTCCCCAAATTAAAGTTTTCATTGTGAAACTGAAAGTTTAAAATAAACGGATTAAATAATCCTGTCTTGGATGGCCTCTTTTTATCATGGTATACTTTTCAAATCCTGGTAAAGGCTTAATAACTATTGTCACATTTTCAAGCAAACTGTCCATTTGTCTTCAAGGTGCATCAATCTCACAAAAGCTGATAAACAGTCAGATTACAAAATGCAGTTCTGAGAGGATGAAAGCTCATCCAGGCAAGCAGACCCCTTATGCCCACACACAAAGATTAGCTTTGAGGATCTAGTCCTTCAATAGCATAGTACATTTTATTGTTTAAATGACTGCAAAACTAAGGTAACTTACATCCAATTTATTTCTTTTCATTTTTTTCTTTGAGGTCTTCTCGCTATTAAATATGTACAAAAGAAAATATACAGTTGAATATACTGAAGTTATTTAAAAACAACTCCATTATAAATCTACTATTGTTCTTTTTATTCCTGCATCAGAATTAGGGCCATATTACATAACCTGTGCCTAACTTCTTATCAATAACATCTTAAACCAAATGACAAAGGAAATGTTTAAAAAAAAGAGGTTAATTATTTCCTTTTAAAGACAAAAACAAATAACCATCACATACTCCTCAACAAACTTCTATTTAGGCAATACTTACTAAGGGGAGGAGCATGAATGGCATAAACCCAAGCATTACTGTTACTCCAAAGGGTACAGTTTAAAGAGGGCCGCTGTAAGCAAGAAATCAACTGCTCTTTTCCTCAATTACCTACTCAGGCCAGTTATTAGTGGGGATTAGAGCCATATATCCTGTTCCCTACTCATCCACTGCAGAGAAAAAGCAAGGGTGTGTCTACGCAGCAGTCTAAACTCAAAATAAAATATGCACTTCACAGATTGTGCATCTTATTAAGATTCTAGTTCAAATCTACACAAGCCAATAAGGCGATGCAGGCATACAACAATGCACCCAAGCGCAGTCAATTGCAAAACAGGGACCGTAAGACCTTAGTTAGGCCCTGACAACAAATGGGTATACGTGGGCAGCTCCTGTGTTTATAAGGAAACAGCCACCAGATCAGACTATAAGGCTCCTAAATAAATTGCCTGATTTTTAAAAGTGCTAACCAGTTAGCAGCACCTTTTGACTTTCGGCACCCATAAAAAAACCAACAACCTCTGTCTCAATTGTGTGAAGGTGAAGTATTTCAATTCACTTTAAAGAAATGGGAGTATATTGATAATGAAAAACTTATAGCATTGTTTACTTACAGGGCAGACATGTGTCTTTTCTTATCCATGTCACTTACAGAAGTTTTGTACTCAAATGACTTTTCTGCAATGACACATTAGTCTCCATTTAACATGGAACTTGTCCTTTACAAACAAAGAGTACATGGAATGCATTGTAGGTCTATGAAGCTACCTGTATGTCATTAACAGTGTACCGTGGAATCAAGGTATTGCATAGACCCATATAGCACAGGGTAGCACTGGGGCCCAGGAGAGTGAATAGGGCAAGCTCATGCAAGCTGCTGCAGGGGCCATGATAAGGGGGTTCAGAGCAATTTCACCAAACGTGGCAAGTTCCTCAGATTTAACCAGGCAAAAAAGCAGAGTTAGGTCCCATCTCCTGCAATCTTCTCCCATCATTCAGCTTCCCTTCTATGCTGGTTGCAGTGCATATTAGGAGATTTGGTTTCTCATATAACTAGCTGTAATAGGAGAAAGCAGGGCCACGATGTGAACATATCTGTAACACACATACCAGTCCTGCCTCAAACACCCAGCCCCCAATTCCCACTCCCCCTGTCCTCCCCAATATAATCCTTGACATAAACAGCCCCTTTTCAGAGCCTCGCTAAAGGAAATTGTCAGTTTCAATGTGGAGGGATTCTGTGCAGATGGTTCAATTGACATTCTACCTGGAGGAGGGCAGACGTAATGTACCTGCAAGAGACATTGCAGGGGTCAGGAAGTGATCCTCCTAAATATTCTGGGTGTGGGAATTAGGAATCTCTTTCTTCTGAAGCATCTCAATTATGTCTCTGTCTTTGAGGGGGCCTCAGGCATTAGTATAGTCCATAGGAAGGACTGCAGCATAAGACTTGGGTCTCCTTTTAGTTGTGGTTCACTGGAGGGTAGTAGACAGACTAAATAATCCGGTGGTCTAAACTAAGGACATAATACTATAGTCAATTAACTGATAAGCAAAAGCTTATCAGTTAATGCTATAGACTACACAAATTTCTCCTCCTCCCCCATGCCAGTAAGTTTTTTTGCAGGCTGTCCAGCAACCCTGCTAGATTCTGGCTTGTGCCAGGTATGGGACCTACCTGCGCTGCAGCTCTGCATTTAAAGTGTTTTAAGAGCCAGGTGGACAGGCAGCAAGGCTCAGTTCTTTATTAGAGGCAACAGCATGAGGTGACAGACAGCCGGTCTGTGAAGGGAGCTGGTTTTTAAACTGGCTCCCCTTATGGACCAGCTCCTACCTGTACATTTCAAAGGAGGAATGTGGAACTCTGCATGCATTCCGGGGCCAGCAGGAAGTCCTGCTGACTTAACTCTGGTCTGCACATCACATTCCAGTTTTGAAATGTGCATGAGTCCCCAGCGGGGACTCTTGGGCATTTCAAAGCAGCAGTGCAGCATGGAGCCCAGGATCAGTGGGGGACTCAGAGTCCCCTGCTGCCCCTGGCTCCATGCTGCGCTGCGGATTTGAAAAGCCATGCAGAGCCAGGGGCAGCTGGGGAGTCCCCATCTGATCCCGGGTTCTGCTGAAATGCCAAGCAGAGTCCAGAAACAACTGGGGACTCCCCAGCCGACCGTGGGTTGTGTTGTGGCATTTCCCCAGAACCCAGGGTCAGCTGGGGACTCTGGAGCTGACACTGGGTTTGCAGAAATACTGTGCTGGGGCTTGGGATTACCTGGGGAGTCCCCAGCTGACACCGGCCTCCATGTGTGGCAATGCCGCACAACTTATCCCAGGATCAGCCCTGCAGGGCTGCCCCTTTGAACACCGCCTAGGGGTCATGATAGAATAAATGCTGACATTCAAAGAGCACATAAGAAAGTTGAAAAACAAATTATAGTCTCTAGAAACTAACCAGCATAATATGGGAAGCTAACCCCAAAAAGCTCCAAGCTACCAATCTCACCCTGTGTTTCTCAGCTGTGGAGGAGCACTGTGCCCCTGTATGCTCACACTGGAGCCCCGCACACAAATCTAACAAAAAACGTAATCAATCCAGTAAGGTCATCACAGGCTACTTGAAACGGACTTGTCGCTACACGGCCTCGCAGGGCGGGCTCTAGCATGAGGCAGGATGCCCTCAGTAGAGGGAAACAAAACCCAGGTGCATGATCCAAGACACCCAGGGGAGGGCTTGCAGCCTGGTTACAAGGCGGGGGACCGACCACACAAATCTAACAAAAAACGTAATCAATCCAGTAAGGTCATCACAGGCTACTTGAAACGGACTTGTCGCTACACGGCCTCGCAGGGCGGGCTCTAGCATGAGGCAGGATGCCCTCAGTAGAGGGAAACAAAACCCAGGTGCATGATCCAAGACACCCAGGGGAGGGCTTGCAGCCTGGTTACAAGGCGGGGGACCGACCCCACACGCTACTGGGAAGACGGCGAGGCCGGGACGAACCTTGCACCTTCCCGCATGCAGCCGATAGGTGACACCGCCAGGCCACGGCTGGGGGGTGGGACAAAATGTGCTAATGTCCCCGCCGCACACT